TACATCTGCACTGTCCTCCACATCATCTGCACTGTCCTCCACATCATCTGCACTGTCCTCTACATCATCTACACTGTCCTCCACATCTGCACTGTCCTCCACATCATCTACACTGTCCTCCACATCATCTACACTGTCCTCCACATGTGCACTGTCCTCCACATCATCTACACTGTCCTCCACATCATCTACACTGTCCTCCACATCATCTGCACTGTCCTCCACATCATCTGCACCGTCCTCCACATCATCTGCACTGTCCTCCACATCATCTGCACCGTCCTCCACATCATCTGCACTGTCCTCCACATCATCTGCACCGTCCTCCACATCATCTGCACTGTCCTCCACATCATCTGCACCGTCCTCCACATCATCTGCACTGTCCTCCACATCATCTGCACTGTCCTCTCTGTGTTCCATAGCTCAACACTTGACATTTATTTCTTCATACTTATTTAGGAAATTATAACTGTAAATCACTTGTGTTTTAAATCCCTAAATAAGAAGGATGTTAAAAGTTATTTCCTATAGAACCTTAAGTCTGTATCTGAGAATCATGTGAGCTCTTCGTTCTTTGAGCACATAGGAAAGACTCATTCAATTAGCAAGACTAGAAACATGTACTAGATGCCTTTTGAGAGCCTGTATGTGTCACAATTTAAGGAGTCTAGCACTATAATTTTGTCTTACAATAGTCAATACAAAAAATAACTGGTTTTATACAGAAAAGTTGAACACTGAAAAATTTCAACACTGTGTGGCCTCTTAGCAGGTTGCTTTTACTCCTTTGTTGCTAATGGCCGAAGTGAATGTCTGTCTCTATGATGTGAATTTGTGTCTATGTGACTGTAGTGTGTGTATAGAGATGGTCACCATGGCTAGCAGGCCAGTCCTACTGTCAAGGAGCCTTGGTAGCACCCCAGGCTTAGCCATACCTGAGCTCTGTTTACATAAGCAGGACTGAGAAGAGAAAGAGGGTCTGTACTTAAATAGACATTGTAAGAGCTCTCTATGTCTCCATGTCCTTCCTATTTGCCACAAGGGGAATTATAATGTCTGCCAAAGAGGACCCCAAAGTCCAGAGACACTGATTCTCTCACTAGGTCTCAGGCAGATGAAGGGTATTTGTGGGCACCCTTCTAAGATAGTTTTATCTTCTATTCTTCCCTTTCCAAAATTTAGTCATGGCTCCATGGTGGGACCCTGTCTCGAACAAACAACACACCTAACAACAACGACCAACTAACCAATGGGACAAATATAAATTTGGAAAGAAGAAAAAAAATCAAACAACAAAAACTCCATCACAATTTGTGAGTGGGTTTGCCCCAAATTGGTACTTACTCAAAAGTCAGATGCTGTGACTGGAAGTAGAATTCTAGTAGCAACCAGAGGTGTAAAGTCACATTCTAAGATTAGAGAAGGAGGCCAGCATAGAGAAGATGAAAACATGGCCTACTTAAAACACAAACAAAACTGTGACCTGATTTTAGGCCAATTCTTTCTGCACTAAAGCAGAAGCTGGTTCTAAATAGAAACCTGCAGTTTTCGGTTTCAGTAGTTGTTTTTCCATTTGGACTTCAAGGCATTGGCCTTCTGAGAATCCATCCAGCTAATGGATTCTATGACTCACAGTAGGGCTTTGTAGGAAGGGTAGGGACATGAACAGAGCCCCCTTATTGAGGCCATTCCATTAGTGTGCCAAAACCTTCATAAAGGTGGACCACAAGTCCCTGTACTTGGAGATGTGTGTTCTGCATGGCATTGCCTATAGTGATACAGTGGCATAAAAGCTCTAAAGCCTACTGCAGCTGACTCTCAGGCACCCCTCTTTCCCTCTGGATTTTAGCAAGGGGTGGTGGGGTAGCGAAGTCCTGTCTGAGCCCTAGGTCTTTGTGTTTCCTGGGCTATCAATTGGATGGGGGCTCATTCCTTCTTTTTGTTCTTTCTTCTTCCCTCTCTGTGTTTGTGTGGCTTTGTGCTTTGGAGGAATTACAGAGACGGTAGCAAAACTTTTAATATGCTTCTCTTTAAAACACTTTGATACTGTCATAGTTCATAGCTATACTCTATGCTAACTATTGCATACTTTATTTCCTGTTATATATCACATCTGGGGTATTGTATATTATATGTCATTTACAGTATAGCACATAGCATTTATTAAACAGCAGATATCATATGTGGGGCACTACCCTGGATTTCACATCAGAGTCCCTCTCTGTGGCCAGCATCTGACTGTAGGTGTCTCAGATGCTTTTTTAATATTGTGTTCATTGGGTGCTAACAGATGGCTAAACGACTGCTGTAGAAGCAGCAGTGAAGACAAAGAGAACTTTACCTTTTAGAAAATTTGTGTTCAATGTTGGGACAGATTATCATATGATAAGCAAAAACTGAAACATTTTTCAATTAAAATTCAAAAATTTTCTGTTGATCCCAGAGAGTTACTGCCACACTCAGTAACTGCGGCTGAGTTTTATTAAAATGTCAAATGCCAGAAACTATTATGGAGAGAAGGAGAGAAATGTGTCTCTCATCCTTTGAAGCTGGTAATACTCAAAAAGGAAACAAATTATAGATCATTATAACTTATTAAATATATTAAATGGAGGGCTAGCAAATTCAAATTCAGCAGTCTACAAAATAAAGGTGCATCATAACTAATTAGGATTAATTCTAATGATGCAGAATAATTTAATATAAAAAGAAATGTATAAAATACATATTAATAAACTAGATGAACAAAAACTTCCCATTACCATGGACATTTAGCATTAATTCATGGGAGGAAAGCTGAAGCTGCTTAGAAAACTGAGACTAGATGAGAACTCTTTTATGTAAAGTTTTTGTACAATATATTTTAGTCATAATTTCCTTCTCCCCCAACTCCCCCAGGTCCACCCTACTTCCCTCCCCACCTAACTTCATGTTCTCTTTCTCTCTCCTCTCTCTCAAAAACCCAAAACAAAACAAAAAGCAAAAAACCCAGTAAGACAAAAATACTAAAACAACCCCCCTCAAATGAAAAAAAAGATTACGCACACACACACACACACACACACACACACACACACACACACACCATCACCACCACCACCACCACCACCAACAGCAACAACAACAATAACTACTACTACAACTACAACGTAAAAATCAAACAAACATGGAGTCCATTTTGTGTTGACCAATTACTCCTGGATATGAGACTTTATCTGGATTGTGGTTGATATACCCAATGACATTCTATCAGAGAAAATATCCCTTTCCAGATACATAAGAGCTGACTTTCGGAGGCATGAGTTTGTAATGAATGGGACACTAGAAAGACATGCCCATCAACAGGGGAATGTCTGACTTCATTGTGGTGTATTTAAATAAAGGAATGATACAGCTGGTTTAAGTGGAAGCTACACACAACACCAAGGATAAGCTGAATGACTTGATGCAGAATGAATTAAGTCAGGGAATCATGTGTGTGTTGCTTAATATGATAGCTATGTCCATGTAGGGGATATGTTTATACACTTTTGTATTTTCTTCCTAGTCTAAAATGATCTAGGACATTGGCAAAGCAAACAGACGGTGCTAAAAATACATTCTGGGTCAAAGCTAGATTGAAGGATTTAGTGATGTTTCCAAAAACATAAAAACACCATATTCTACTTACAGTCACCAACAGGGTTCAGTCTCACTAACAATTTTATCATGGCTGCAAAGCTGGTCCTCACTCTTATCTTGGCCTCCATGATTCTATTCAGCCTTCCAAGCAAGGAGTAAAGGAGGAAATTAGTTTTTCCCTTTCTTTTGCTGAAGATAGTCTAGGTTTGTACCTATTGTTCCAGAATGATGATTAACAAGATTCCCTTTTAGACTCAGAAGTGCTTCTGAATTATCCAAGCAGTAGAAGAGGCTCTAGATCCTTCTCCATTTAGTGGGGAAACACTGGGAGATTGACTGTAATCATACTTTATGCATCCACTTGAGTTGTGGGGACACATCTGGGCTATGACTGCAGGGTGGGATTATGGTTTAACATGGACACTTGGCATGGCTTCTTGGAGGCAGTAGAGATAACCCACGAGGAATTTTGGATAACTGAGGTCCGGATGCCTGGGCCACTGGCCTGGTCCTCAGGACATCTTCCCATACCTAGCACCCTGAGTCAATGGTCCCAGTAAGTATTAAGCCCTTGTTCAGAGATTGTTCACTTAGAAAAGGCCGTTTCAGTCACATATGAGTCCTTTCAGCATCCCAGCCTGCACTGCAGGAGCTGTCCTTTCTGTTAGGCTAGCCCTCACCATCACAGACTGTTCAATGATGAGGTGGTGTCTAGAGATCAAAGGCTCTCATTATAGATGACTTTAGGAAGAATATTCTTGGCAGATGATTTGCAGATGACTTTCACAAGTCTAGCAGCTTCCTTTACTCACATGGACATGATGCAGATCAGACAATTTTAGGGCTTACAGAATTGGGAGAGGAGGAATGAGTTCATCGTAACCAGAGATGGTTTGGGGTCCAGGTCAGACAGATATCCAAAGGCCAGTTCTGTCCCATAGCAGAGATTGATACTGAATTCTTTTTTCATTCCAGGTTACTGAGAAGTGGTATAGTGAGGTCACTGGAACCTGTGT